CAGTCAAAATTTAATTTTACAAATTTGAGGCAAAAATGTAAGTGCATAAAATGAAATTGTATGCACATACAAGTGCATCTATTTTCTTTTCCAATCCAGGGTGGTGTTGACAGAAAACACAATATTGCTTTTACTTTTTAAACTCGAGGAAATGTTTGCAGAATATGCCTGCATTTGTAGCTGTAAAAAATACTTTTACAATTTTTACTAGTTGTTTGAGTTAGACCTACTCACCAATCACTGATCGTGCACTGTGGCACAATCAAAAATTAACTCTCACTTTGTCGTAATTTCGCTTAAATTCACAAGAGGGCAGTGTTGACGTAAACTAGGATTGCAAAGGGAAGGTAGGGGTCTGCTCGAAAAAGTAACGTTTTCCATTTGCGACACAGGTGAGTGCAGATATACGGAGGTGAAATACACCAAGCGTTACAAAAGCAAATGCACAGCGTGTGAGGTCTTGTGCAGGATTTCTTACTTCGAGTATGTGACTGAACTGGTGATTCCACCATAAGTTAAACAACCACAAAATATTTGCTGGCGGCTTAGTGGAGCTTCTATTACGTTTTTACAATAAAGAGGTTTCCGCGTTTTTACGGGAAGTTGATCTTTGGTCAGTGCGGAAGGGAAGTTTAACTAGTCTACGTTCTAACTAAGGTGCTTCCAGGCGCACGTCGTTTTATCAGATAGATTGTCTTTACTTTGCATAGACCCACAGAGGCTTCGCGATTCATTTATCATTATGTCATCTTTGCTTTAACGCATCCGCACCTGGCGTCGATTATTGCGCGCTCTCTTCTCTCGGCTTATATAGGCTACTCTGAAAATGAGTGATCCGAGAACAAACTGTTTAAAAACAGCACTTCAGTTGACTTCTCAACTAATGTTGGTAGGTGAGACTTTTTCAGCTTTGCTACAGTTTTTACTGTATTATCTTGTATTCTCCTTCCAATCATATTACCAAAATTAACTTTATTAGAGTGATTAATAGGGTTTTTACTTTTGCCAAGTGTTGATTCTTTCTTCTGTTTAAAATAGTAAATACAGTATTTAAAAAAAGCTACTGATATAAAAGATGTTGTTTGCGATTTTACATGTAAACTTTAGTGCGGAGTCACATGTCACGCGACAGAGAAGGTCATGTGAGAAACAGGAACTACAGAAAAATCAGAGTAAGGGAGAGTGGAAGATTTATTATTATATTTCTTTTTATAATCATGCCTGTTAAAAAAACGTATTTGTACATTTTAACAGTCCATGTTTACTTCCCTTTATTTTATTTTATTGTTACACAGTGCAAACCTATGATTAGTTCTGTGGTAACTGTATGAGTTTTTTTTTAACAAAGTTAGTAACATAAAAAACAAGCTACACACCTGAGAACAGTAGAAAGAACCAATGCTCTCGTTGCTCTTCAAAGAATTCATTTTAAGCCATTCATATTTGAATTTTCCTCTGAATTTCCTGGACAAAAGAATAAGGAACATGTATAACTGCTATTGTTATTGTTAACTGTTATTTTTTAAATTTGATCATACCTCTGTGATTTTCTTGAAACAGTGTTGAATTAAATTAACGCACAGTTATAACAGCTAGGGTAAGCCAACAGCAATGCATCAGTGGGTGGAAGGTTGCCAGCTGAATTCCCAGAACTATGATGTGAGGCATGTAGCCCAACTGGTGTAGTAACACTTCTGTAGCTGCTAGGTTAGAAAGCTTCCAGGTGAAAATAGGTTTGAACAAAGTATCTTGTAAAAGAAAGAGTTATTCTCTTTGGACACGTTGTTGTGTGTACGATGAAACCAGAAGAGTTGGCAGATATTGAGCTTAGCAAAGATGACTTGGCAAAACAGGAGACCTCATACTAAGTTATTGTCATAAAGAAAAGATGTGTGGTTATCTGTGGTGATAACCCATGAAGCTGTATATCAATAGCATGTGTAAATATAACTTTTATAATTTCTTATTCTAATTTATCAGGCAGTGGGGATACTGGTGTGGCTGAATGGAGTTTACCTGCTGATAAAGTATGGAGAGAATAGCCGCTTTTTTTCAGAGTCCTACATGACCCTGACAGTTTTGGTCATAGTCACTAGTGCTGCGTTGCTATTGGTCACCGGATGCCTCGGCTCCTGGGTGAGCCTCAAGGATTCCATCTGTCTACAGGGACTGGTGAGGCTGTCAGTCTGTTTGTGACTGTGATTATCTCTATGT